GTCTGTTCTGGGTCCAGTGCTATTCAACATCCTTGTCAGCGACATGGATGATGGCATTGAGTGTACCCTCAGTAAGTTTGCCGATGACACCAAGTTGTGTGGTGCCGTGGACTCACTTGAGGGAAGAGATGCCATCCAGAGGGACCTTGATAGGCTTGAGAATTGGGCCAGTGCAAACTGCATGAGCTTCAACAAGTCAAAATGCAAGGTCCTTCACCTGGGTCAGGCCAATCCTAGGCACAAATACAAACTGGGCACAGAGTAGCCCTGAAGAGAAGGATTTGGGTGTGTTTATAGATGAGAAGCTCAACATGAGCCGGCAGTGCGCTTATGCAGCCCAGAAGGCCAACCATGTCCTGGGATGTATCAAGAGAAGCGTGGTCAGCAGGTCGAGAGAGGTGATTCTCCCCCTCTACTCTGCTCTTGTGAGACCCCACCTCGAATACTGCATCCAGTTCTGGTGTCCCCACCATAAGAGAGACACAGATTTGTTGGAGTGTGTTCAGAGGAGGGCCACAAAGATGGTCCAGGGGCTGGAGCACCTCTGCTACGAGGCCAGGTTGCGGGAGCTGGGATTGTTCAGCCTTGAAAAGAGAAGACTTTGGGGGGACCTAATAGCTGCCTTCCAATAGCTGAACGGAACTTACAGGAAGGTTGGGGAGGGACTTTTTACAAGAGTGTCCACTGATAGGACAAGGGGAAATGGGTTGAAGTTGAAGGAGAACAGGTTTAGATTAGATCTTAGGAAGAAATTCTTCAGTACGAGGGTGGCAAGACTTTGGAATAAATTGCCCAGAGAAGTTGTGGATGTCCCCTCTCTGGAGGCGTTCAAGGCCAGGTTGGACGGAGCCTTGAGTAGCCTGGTCTAGTTGAGAGGCGTCCCTGCCCATGACAGGGAGGTTGGTTTAGATGATCTCTGAGGTCCCTTCCAGCCTATGCCATTCTATGATTCTATGATTTGACAGTAACAGACAGTTAGGTTTCCTGAAGAAAACTGCAGCCTGCTCTGAAGCAGCATTTCTTCCTTGTTAGCATACATAGTTTTCTGGAATGTCTTCACTACTATATGTCTCTTCTGGAGTTATGTTTGAAGTAGTGCTGCCAACTGTGAAAGTCTAGTAAACCAGTTGGAGCATTTTTTCATTCTTTAATAAATAATTTAAATTCGTTATACCTTTGGTACTTAGTTCTGATATGGTTAGCAGATTGTTGCTTTTTATATTGTAGCAACATTAAAGGATTTCACTTTGTAAGTTGTTTTACATTTAAATACAGAACACTATCCCTGTCCCCAAAAGAAGCAATATGTTATTCCCTGTCTCCCAAAAGAAGCAGTATATATATAGCTGTTAATTTGGTAGTAACTTTCTGTTAGACAATATAAGAACTTGCTTATTTTCTTTGGGTTTTCTTGTGTGAAGAGTAGCTTCTGTATTGTGTAATTTTAAATGGTAAGTAGTAAAATATGACCATGGATGTACAAAATCCAGGTCTGTTACGAAAGTTTGGATAATATCTGTCTGTTGTTTAGATGACCACCCGTGTTGATGGCCATTCCTGGGCTCTTTCTGCTATCGATGAGTTTAAAGTTCAGAAGATTGTAACACCGCTAAATAAAGATACTATTCCAGTCACTGATTCACCTGTTGTTGTGCAGCAACACATGCTGCCACCTAAGAAGTTTGTTCTGCTTTCAGCTCAGGTGAGTATTTGTTGTGGTTTAGCCCAGCTGGCAGCTGAATGCCATACAGCCACTTGCTCATCCTCCCCCACCCTAGAGAATGAGGAAGAGAATTCAAGGGGAAAAGGGAAGAAGACTCATGGGTTGAGATAAGCACAATTTGGTAATAGTATATGCATACATACATATGTATAACAATATATACGAACAAGTGATGCACAGTGTAATTGCTCAGCACCTGGCGATCAATGTCCTGGTGTCCTGTACCAGCAAACGGTCCCAGAACAGATAAGTCCCAACACTACAATCCCGGGTGAGTGAAAGACGCAAAAACAAAGCAGAATGAGAGAGGGAGAGAGAGAGGTCTCCAAGAGTCTGAGAGAGCCTTTGGAAGAGACTCTCTGGAAGAGCAAGAGCTCTTCTTCCCAATTAGCCATCATCTATATACTGAGCATGACCTTGCATGATACAGAATACTTCGTTGGACGATTTAGCCCTCAATCCAGAGTCTAAATTCAAATTATAAGGGCAGTTGTGGACCCTTTGTCCGGCCATGCCTGTTGTGCTCCTCCACACTGGCAAAAACACGGCAAGCTGAAAAGTCTTTGCTATCTCATCACTGCACTATCAATATTCTTCTCATAAGGAATCTCAGACCAAAAGCAAAACACAGAGCTCTTTTTGCTGCTAAAAAACCCAACTAACTCTGTCCCGGTCAAAACCAGGACAGTGTTACTTTTCTTAATATAGGAAATCAGAAAAGTAGTTGGAAGACTGATCTAAACCTATAAATGTTTATTCATTTTTGGATATGTTTTAAGAATTATACTCTGAACATAAAAAAGAATAAGGAAGAAGATTGCTGAAACCATCTGTAGCTTTTTTAAATTTACTCAAAGCTCTTGGGCCAGCTTTTCTCGTACAGTGTATTAATAGTTTTCATTTGTCTCCAGAGATCATTATAGGTACAGATCATCTGAGAAGATCTTTTAACCTTGGTTATAGTCATGATTATATATGAAATTGAGAAACCCTGGCTGCCCAGAAAACATAGTTTGAGTAAATATTGTTAGCAATTGACATTTGAATAAAATATAGTTTCTTTTTTGTCATAGAAGTCCTAAAAGGGTTTTTTGAAAGAGTTTTAAAAAACAAAACCCAGAAAAAGAAGAAAGAAGTTAACTTCCCTCCTTCTCTTTTCCGTTTACATTTAGTAGTATTTCAGGGCACTTAGTATCTAAGATACATGAAGACTTTCTTTTTTATGTATACTTGATATGTGTTTGTCTTGTGTGCTTCATGTTAGGCTAAGAACAGCAAAACTGCCTCAGTTTATAGCCGTTGCAGTATTTTTCCTGCTTTTCCAACACTCACTAAAAAATTTTCTGCATGTGGGCTTTAGTCACCATTCACGTTATACTTTGATCCAATAGTGCCATAAAGGAAAACTCAGAGTGCTAAAGATAAGCATGGTGGGGAGGGGGTGTCAGGATGGCCAGAGTAAAGACAACTTTATTCTAATGTATTTTGGTTTTACTTTTAGGGGAGTTTTATGTTTCATAAACTCAGACCTGTTGATCAGTTGCGGCATCTGCTTGTTAGCAATATAGGTGGAGATGGAGAAGAGATTGAAAGATTTTTCAAGTTGCATCAGGTGAGAACTTGTGACCTGTTATGAAAAATGGAAGATTTATAATATATAAATCTACTAATTTTCTTTAGCATCTTTTTGTTACTGCTATAATTTATTGATTAAAGTGTTAACTTTTCCTCCTGTATTGTTTACATAAACCAAGATTTTATAGTGAGAAATAACTTCTCATTTTATCGTATCCAAAAATGGAATTCTAATGTGTTTTCCTTGAAATTCTTATATGTCTTATATGCAGAATTATAATGCAGTTCTTACTTTAGGATAGGAGTTCGTCTAAGAGCAAGGGAGGAGAAGTTTCTAAAAAAGTTAAATTCCTACCACTACAAGAGATTTTTACATTTTGAAGGCCAGTAGAAATGTTTATAACTGATCTATTTCTTTTGTTTAAGATAAAGAACAAGCAGGAGGGAAGCTATTGTGGATTACAATTTTAATTTGACTAGTACTGATCAGTGTCTGTAGCGAATGTTCATTGTAATTTGTTCTCTTGTGCTTTGATAGGACATACTAAGTGATATTTTAACATGCCATTAGATTATGCAAACCATTATTTGTAGAGATTTTTTTTTTCAACACAATCTTAGAATCATAGAATCATAGAATGGTTAGGGCTGGAAGGGACCTTCAAAGGTCATCTAGTCCAACCCCCCTGCAAGGAACAGGGTTATCTCCAACTAGATCAGGTTGCTCAGGGCCTCGTCCAACCTGGCCTTGAACGTCTCCAGGGATGGAGCATCCACCACCTCTCTGGGCAACCTGTTCCAGTGTTCTACAACTCTCATGGTAAAAAATTTTTTCCTAATATCCAATCTGAATCTACCTCCCTCTATTTTAAAACCATTACCCCTTGTCCTATCACAACTGGCCCTCCTGAACAGCCTCTCCCCATCTTTCTTGTAGGCCCCCTTGAGGTACTGGAAGACCGCTATAAGGTCACCCCGGAGCCTCCTCTTCTCCAGGCTGAACAGCCCCAACTCTTTCAGCCTGTATCTTAATTTACATTTCTGTAGAAATTGCATGAATCTTAGCCATAATTAGGTGACAGACATGGAGATTGTTTCCTACCAGTAATCATACTGAGTGTGCAAAAAGTGTGTATAATAGAAACTTGCTTGCTACAGTGGGATGCCTCACTATGATTCACTTCCTGTCTATAAGTGGGAAGAGCTCATGTCCTTGCCTTCTAAATAAAACGATGCAAAAAGTATTTACTTATAACTTCTGTACCTTTCTTATCAACTTGATATAAGCTGCCACATTAACAGCCTAATATGCTCTAGGAGGACCAGGCCTGTGCCACTTGCCTTATCTTGGCGTGCTCTAACGCTGCGTGTGATAGAGAAGTATCTGCCTGGGCTACTCGAGCATTCTTCAGGTAAGTTTCAGTTCTGTACATTGTTCTGAATGTTATGCTGAGAATCACTACAGATGCGAAGTAATTTTACGGGCTGTTTAGCCTGCCGCCTGAGCAAACGTTGTTCTAAAATGAGGATACACTGTTAAACCTGGTGGAATAGGGTTTTGCGCTAATTTAAAGCTCATCAACAAAGGAAGCTTCCAGTAACGGTGATTTCTGGTTAGTTCCCTTCTTGAATGCTTGTATTCCACATGAAGAGGAGGCTATTGAAAATGTGGTTTAATCTGCTTGAAATGCACTTATCGATACTTCACAATATCCCAGTTCATTGAATGCAGTGTGTTGTAATATCTTTAGTGGGACCAACTCAGACAGCTGGAAAAAGAACAGACAATTTTTTAATTTTTGTGGGATTTCGGGGTTTGTGGGTTTTTTTTCTTGTTTAGTTTGGATTTTTTTTCTTAATATATTGTAGTTTTTTATGTTGTTCACCATTATGCCAAGGAAATGGACTTGCCCTGTTCAGGGCCTGATGGCTCTTGGTCATAGATGTTGATTTTTTTTGTTTGGTTGGTTTGGCTTTTTCCACTGCAAATTGAATGATGAAATATGGGCTTCCACACTGGAGGATTAATGTCATGCATGTATCTTATATACTGCATATCCATGATATGGTGCAGATATGTACATTTTAATTAGCTGCCTTAAACGGGTTGGTATGTGGTGGGTCTGTTGGCTGTCCTCACAGGGCATGTAGCCTGGAGGAAAAAAGGGGTTTGGTAAGATACAGTTGTTGAGAGTGATGATAAAATGTGCACCTTTGACTGTATGCTTGCCTTAGAGTTTGAGTGTTATGTTCCCAGAAGCTTGCTTGTTCTTTTCCAAAACTTGTGCAGATGTTAGATCGAGTTAGCTGTTCTCATTAGGCTGTGAGGAGTTGCTCTTTGTGAAACTCAATTACATTATCAGATCTGAGAGTGAATGTGGATAACTCTGGAAGGATGCCTGTTAGCAAGGGAAGACATAAGCGAAGTGCTCATGTAGCACTATAGGGGAGAGATGGGTAGACATTACTTGTGGATGATAGAAGGATAAGCGTGGATCATCTCAACTGTGTCCTCCTTTCCTGTAGAGGCAAACCTTAAAAAGATACTCAAGCATCATCCTGATTTTGAGAATTGGTAAATTAATCTTTAAAGCCTGATCAAGTCATATCACCACAGAACTTAGAACATCCACCAAAAAAATTACTTAGTTGTTTGTCTAAGTTATCTTTGCTATTGCGTGTGTTAATGCTTCTCATGCAACATCTATTCTGTTAGTTTTGTTTTCTTCTGCCAAAAGTATCATACAGTCACAAATATTTCTGAAAAGTTACGCTGGTTTTTTTATTCCTTATTTTAAAAGAACCTGAAAATTGCTGTTAATTCTCAAAGACATGAACATTAAATGGATTGTGTATGAAGTGTGAGGAATTTTTGTCTTTACATGTAAACTTTAGGTATGGTGGAGAAGCACAAATGAGATTTCCGTCAGCTCTGCCTCCTCCAGGCAATATTGGACCTATTTTGGGTTCTCCTCTTTCTAGTGGTAAGTAGCAAGCATTTCATGGTTTTGGGGGCTTTTTTCCTTAAATAATGTCTGTCTTCTCACAAGTACTCATCTTCTTTTTGTCTGAAATAGTCCTTGATTTTTTCACTCACTGGTTTATTAGTTCCAGAGTTTCTTCCATTTCTCTTGAGCAAGTTTTGGGTTTACTGAGAGGATGACGTGATCTCAAACAATGTCTGTATGTTGCATATAATCTGTTAAGGTTATGTGAAGAAGGTAAATACATTTGTTGCTGCCAGAGACAGTTCATCAGTCAGAGAACAATTTATGAATACTGTAGTTCCAACTTGTGGAACTACAAGATTAGTGGGTTGTTGTGTGGCTATAGCAGAGTATCTTCTTACAGTGTCATTGTCATGCCTTTGCAGATATTGCTTGTAAGAGAAAAAGAAAAATGCTGATTAAGAAATGAGTTAGTCATTTGGAGTGTTTCCTCTGTGTAAAAGCTCTAGCTTCAACATTTGATTTCTGCTTATGTCATCAGTGCCACCTACAAATGAGAATACTGCTCATTCTTTCTCCTCAGAACTTGGTGCTTATTGCAGTGGAGGCCTTTCTGTGTTACTCAGATTGACTTAAATTTCTACAGTTGCTTCAGGAAGTTGTCCCTTAATATGTTTTAGTCAATTCCTGATCTTAAGTGTTTTTAAAAGAGGAATTCATAATGATGAGTTTGGAACTCTGAATTACTGAATTAAATTAATTTATTTTTTTTTTAATCAGGAACTTGTTAGTTTCCAGGATCTTGGTTTACCCTTATCTGACATGTGGCATTCAATCTTACTCATCGGACTTGTCATTGGGGAAAAAACTTGATTGCTTGGAATGCAAAGAAATTCCATTTCAGTACCATATTTGACATATATCCAAATTCATAAGTGTTGGAGGAAGATATGCTGAACTGAGATGAAGTTTTGGAAAAACAGTTGACCCCCTTTTTCAGAATTCTTGTTTAGTATTAAAGCACTAAGAATGGCTATTTTTAATGCATCAATGGCATTGCTTTCCAAGCCTGATGGTATGGAACAAAAGCAACGCAGATGGGAGCTGAGGCAAGGCATAAGAATGTAAAATTAAATAGAGAGGACAACAGCTACGGGGAAAACAGGTGCTAGGAGCAGACTGAGAATGAAAGAAAAGTGGGAGGGAAACGATAGGAAGCTCTAATGGATAAGGTGACTCCGTTTAGAAGTAAATGTATTTTTCCCCCGTCGAAATACCTGGATATTTTTACCTTTTGCTGTCATACATACATCTTTGAAACTTGGTATCAAAGCACGTGTTTCCGTTTTGCTTCAGTGACAGGTCCAGGTGGAAGATGGCACCGTTCTGCTGCTGCTACTTACTCCATTTGCCCAAAGGGTAGAAAACTGACATGTGAAATTAAGATTCTGGTATTGTGGATGTCCCATGTCCCATGTGGCGGGTCAGACAGTGCCGACAGAAATTGTTTAAAACGCCTTGAAATTTTGCATGTGAAACTACATTACGATAATGTTAGCATTAGAAGGCCAGGCACCTTTGATGTAGTTCCTTCTTTTTCTCACTGTTGAAAGTCTAGTCATGCATTTGCGTGCTGCTTTTCTGCAAGTTTGTGCTTTGCTTGGCACACAGAAGAATGTGTTCTGAGAATGCGTTGGCGCTGTTTAGTGAAGGACTTTTTTACCCTTGATGCTGTTGTGTGTTGCCAAGTTGAGAGAACTGTAGTGAATAAGGCACGAAGGACTGGCTCTTTGATAAAAGCCACATTTTCAGAGTGCCGGTTTTCTTGCCCTTTCTGTGATAAATCATCGTACATGCTGATGGTACATGGACAATTTTGTAGATGACCACGTGTTACTCGTATTTTGGGGTCTTAAGTATTCAGACTTAATTTGCAGAAGGGTTGAGTGTTCACAGCCAAATCTGAGGCTGTGGACAGCCTGAAACTGAATGTTCCAGGTTAACAGTGTTGCTGTAGTGTTTGTCCAACTGCCTTATATAAAAATTAAGAGTAAGAACATAATTTTTCTTCAGTTGAGTGCTTTGAAGGTAAAATTGATATTGTTTAAAGATACCTAAATGACTGAAAGTGAGTGCTTTGAGAATAGGTGGCCATATCAGGAACAAGAGCAGTCAGAAGGTGAAGAACAAGAAAAAGTATTTGAACAGTATTCAAGTATATTCAAGGCAGGGAACAGATAGTTTGCAATAAATAAGACATGAATGCTGGAAATAAAAATGCTTAACTGCTCAAGAAAGAAGCATATCCATTTGGTTCACTTACGGAGTGTTGAGTTGATAATAAAGGAGTGCAATTTGGTATTTAACTATAATTAAAAGCTGTTGGAATGGTTATAACTTTAAAGTACTTGATTTAACAACTTTGCTGCTTTTGCACAGGGTTTTTTTTATTTGCTCGTTTGCGTTTAACAAATCTGCCTTTACTGCTTTTCCCTTTTAGTGACCCCCTTGACTACTGATACTCCGTATACTAATTTTAGCTTTGTGACAACACCTGGGCAAGGTAATGCCTTTTCCTTTGCTGGAGAAATGGAGAGGTTTTTTTCAACTCTGCTTTTTTCTTTACATTCAAATAAGTAATATTTACCTGCTTTTACCCTAGGTTTACAACCTGTTTGTGCATCAACTCCCGTATTTTCTTCTGGGAATTCCGTGTCTCACCCTGGCGCATCCATTAGTGGCATGATGGGTCCTGAGATAGTATTTTCTGGAAGACACAATGGCATCTGCATATACTTTGCTCGGATTATAGGGTGAGGGGTTTGTGTAAAAAGAGATTCTGTCATGCAGTTTGGTTCATAGTTTTTCTTTCCTCTCATGCTTTTAAGTGGAGAATTCTACCTTAATAGCATGTAAATTTGAAATTAGTGAAGTGCATTTTTATGATATAATATGTTCTCTTTACAGCTCTATTAATATAATAATACGTTTGGTGAATGGCTAGGACAGGAAAGTTGCATAGATCTTGATCCTGCAATCAAGTGTATATGCACAACTCTGAAAACTGTGGTTTTTATTTTTCAAACATGAGCTGTACATTTCAAAGTCCTCCTAAAGGATGAAACAGAAGCGCAGAAGGACTTACACGATCAAAGTCATGGCTTGAAGTCTTTTCAGTTAAGAAGCTTAAAACAGCAGTAAAGCAAGACTAAAGAGAATTCTGTTACTTAAATGTTGAGTCCTGTGTTACTGAACACCTCAAGCAAGAACAGAGCTCTTCATATGTTTGTTGTCTCTCTGCATGCTGCTTGGAAAAGAAATTTTTGTTATGAGACTTGTTTCCCTACGCTATATTTCCAGGGAGTAATATTGGCCTATATTTAAAGTATTTGAGAGCATCAAACTTAATTTCAGTAAAGATTTTAAATTTGAAATTTTGTTAATTACCTGTATCTGTATCATTAAGAAATGTATAATGGTAACTTTTTTGAATGTTCAATTTTCGTCCAATTTAAATTCTTATTTTAAACCTTAAAGTAAAAAGCATTATAATTTCTTTCTTAATTATACATAGAAGCCTTGCAAAAATACTTGCTTAAATTACATGACTTTTAACTCAGTACTATTTTGTGTTGCAGAAATATTTGGGATGGCAGTATAGTTGTGGAGAGAGTTTTCAAAAGTGGCAATCGAGAAGTTGTTGCAGTATGTAAAAGATTATTTTGTATTTTTAAAAGTTCCCTGTGGTGTATGTCGTAAGCCCTATTATTCATCAGTTCCCAATTAGAAACTGATAAGGAAAAAAAACCATCTTTGTCATTCGAATGTTTTCATAAGTGCTGCACTTTTAATTGAGGAGTAATTGCAGGTTTAAAATCTTTTTAAGCTACTACTTTGAATGTTACTTTTTAAAAAACTGTAATTTGATCTCTGTTGTTAACTGGCAATGGCAAATTTTCTCCATGTTTAGTGATTGCACTTCCTTCATTTCTGCATACCTGCTCCAGACAAAGCTCAAAAATTAAATACTTTAGTGGGTTAGGATAAACATTGCAATTACATAAGGACATTAAAAAGTTTCCAGCATCTTCCTGACAAACATCATGGTGTTTCACTTTTTGCCCGTGATCAAAATAACAAAATCTTTTCTGACTGTGCATGTTAATAGAATAACCGAGTAATTTCGGCCATGGAAATTGACTGCTACGTGAGCTTTCTTCCTCCAGTTACAAGGTAACTGGGAGACTCTGGAAGACCTTGGCAGTTATACTCTCTGTCCTCGCAATGTTCAATCATTGTTTTAGTTCAGAGTTGGAAATAGTAAAACACAGCTGATTTGGTGATGAGAGAAGCAAAGAAAGTAGCATCTTGAACACTGTATATCTTCAGGGGACTATTCACTTGTGTGCCCTCTCCTCAATGACTGTGGTATAATAGTGTTGTGTTCTAGTAATACCGTTACTGTTATGCTATTTATTTTTGGTACCCTCTTTGCGTATGTCTTTTTAGTGGCTTTAGCTTAAAACTGTAAATTTTTAGAAAAAAAGGTTGGAAACTAAGCTTTCTGTAAAGAAGTCTGCGTTATTTTTGCAGGTAGAAAGCAGTGTCCCATCGCATGTGTTGGAATGTGTGCTACAAGAAATGAAAGGTTTACAAGAATTTCTGGATAGAAATTCACAGTTTGCTACAGTAGGAGCCCTTGGAAACCCAAGGTATTATTCGTTGTGTTAAATTTGCTACTGGTATTTAGTGTCCAGCTCTGGAAAAACTATACCATGTGTATCTGTGTTGAGTTGAAGTGTGTGTATGTATGTATGGTTCCCAGCTTCAGCTATCCAGATGCTAAAAATGAGTTGTTAGTTTTCATCTTTAAAAGATTCAGTATTTGTAATCACATCAGCATACCTTTTTGTTTTGGAATTGCAGTTTTAGCACACCAGCCAATCTGCAACAGCGGCTGGTGGGTTTCATGCGACCAGATGGTGGAAGCTCTCAGCAAGTCCAGCAAGAACTCCAGAGAAAGTATCACGGTAGGTAATTACTTTTGAACAGGAAGCATCACGGAATGTTGCATTTGGATGTTCCCTTTCTCACTTTTCTTGTTAAAACCTGTGAATAAAAATGCCTTTTTTCCGAAAAAATTTGACATTAATCAATATGCCATGCTCAGTAATAAGTTCTTCAGAAAAACCATTGTAATTTGAAAACTAGCTTTACTAGCACCTTGCTTTTGCTTCCATATCGTATCATGCAGTGCTTCTGCAGTGATGTTGATGTGAAAAAATCATTTACATATGATTGACTGTATCAGAGATACACACCCAGAATGAAAAATTAAATCTAGGTAGAGAAACATTCCAGCCTTTAGGTTGACTGTGGCAAGAGACTTTGTTTGTTACATGCTGCAGATGTTACCTTTCAGTTTGGTATTTAAAGCTTTAATGTTGCAACTGATTAAAGTAGCCCACAAAGGAGAATATCCCTCTGACAAGAGTCTGGTGTTCAGCACAGTAACATCTGGCAATCTTGAGCCACTGCAAAACACAAGTTGTATCTTTGAATTTATTAAGCTAAAATAAAAGTGCTTAAACTTTAAAACACTTAATTTTTTGTATGAGAGAGAAGTTTAAATTTAAATTCTGTGTGGGTATGTGCCCTCTTTATCCTATTTTCCCCACTCAGACACTCTTGACGTACAAAACTAGAGGTTTCTTTGCACACTTACCTGTCTGCTTTTTTTTTCTTCCTAATGTTCTTCATGTTTCATAAGATTGTTTCATCTCCTCACTACACTACGTAGTAGCTGCCTACCCGTTTATATTTTCAAAAAAGCAATTAATATTTTCAATTAAGCAATAGTTTGAGACACGTTGTACTATTGAAAAGAAATACTGTAAATGCAAGTTGCCAAAGTTACAGTCACTGAAATGTCTACAAAACTTTGTTTAGGGATAAGAGACAGGTCACGCGGCCCGTCCAAACCCATGTCCTACTGTAGTGTAGCTTTTGCCCAACGCTTTCACGCAAGCTGGGAAGTGTTGCTGATGTGCATGCAAAATTGAAGATGGTTGTTGTCTATGTGGGTGTAGTCCTGGGGTTTAATTTCTACTTCTTTTTCCAGTACTGCTAACTTTCAATAGTGTGAATGTAATTTTTTTTTGAGAAGTCATTATGTAGAATTTTGTAGACATTTTGTTATTTTTCATTTTTATGCATTCCTAAGCCCATAAATCCTTTTGGATTGCTAAATGACACAGTATAATTGCCTGCAGGAATATGATCTTATTGGCATCATGGAGACGTGGTAGGATGAATCCTATGGTTGGAGTGTCAGAATGGAAGGTTTCAGGCTATTTAGGAAGGATAGGCAGGGGAGAAGAGGAGGAGGTGTTGCTCTCTATCTCAAAGACCAGCTGGAGTGCATGGAGCTGCACCTGGGGATGGATGAGGAGCCAACCGAGAGCTTATGGGTCAGGCTTAAAGGGCGGACAGGGACAGGGGACGTAGTGGTGGGGGTCTGCTACAGGCCACCTGACCAGGAAGACCAAAGGGATGAGGCACTCTACAGACAGATAAGAACAGCCTCACCTTCATGAGCCCTGGTCCTCATGGGGGATTTCAACCACTCCAATATATATTGGAGGGACAACACAGCAGGGCACAAGCAATCCAGGAGGTTCCTGGAATGCATGGATGATAACTTTCTTCTCCAAGTGGTAGAGGAACCAACAAGGAGAGGTGCTTTGCTGGACCTTGTTCTCACCAACAAGGAGGGGCGGGTGGGGAACGTGACACTCAAGGACAGCCTTGGCTGCAGTGACCATGAAATGGTGGAGTTCAAGATTCTTAGGGAGGCAAGGACAGTGGTCAGCAAGCTCACTACCCTGGATTTCAGGAGAGCAGACTTTGACTTCTTCAGGGATCTGCTTGGTAGAGTACAATGGGAAAAAGTCCTGGAGGGAAGAGGGGCCCAAGAAAGCTGGTTAATATTCAAGGATCACCTCCTCCAAGCTCAGGAGCAGTGGATCCCAATAAAGAGGAAATAAGGCAGGAACACCAGGAGGCCTGCATGGGTGAACAAGAGCTCCTGGACCTACTCAAACACAAAAAGGAAGCCTACAGAGGGTGGAAGCAAGGACAGGTAGCCTTGGAAAAATACAAAGCAATTTTCCGAGCAACCAGAGATCAGGTTAGGAAAGCTAAAGCCCTGATAAGAGTTAAATCTGGCCAGGGACATCAAGGGCAACAAGAAAAACTTCTATAGATATGTCAGTGATAAAAAGAGATATAGGGAAAATGTGGGCCCTCTCCGGAAGGAAACAGGGGACCTGGCTACCCACGATATGGAGAAGGCTGAGATATTCAATGACTTCTTTGCCTCAGTCTTCACTGACAAGTGCTCCAGTGGCACAGCGGAGTCACAGAAGGCAAATGCAGGGACTGGGAGAATGAAGAACTGCCCACTGTAGGAGAAGATCAGGTTTGAAACCATCTAAGGAACCTGAAGGTGCATGAGTCCATGGGACCTAATGAAGTGCATCCCCAGGTCCTGAGGGAACTGACAGATGAAGTTACTAAGCTGCTATCCATCTTATTTGAGAAGTCATGGCAGTCTGGTGAAGATTCTGCCAAATGGAAAAGGGGAAACATAGCCCTCATCTTTAAAAAGGAGAAAAAAGAAGACCCAGGGAACTACAGGCCAGTCAGTCTCACCTCTGTGCCTGGCAAGATCATGGAGCAGATCCTTCTGGCACTATGCTAAGGCACATGGAAAATAAGGAGGTGATTGGTGACAGCCAACATGGCTTCACTAAGGGCAAATTGTGCCTGACTAATTTGGTGGCCTTCTATGATGGAGTTACAGTGTTGGTAGATAAGGGAAGAGCAACTGACGTCATCTACCTGGACTTGTCCAAAGCATTTGACACTGTCCTACAGGACATCCTTGTCTCTAAACAGGAGAGACATGGATTTGACGGATGGACCACTCAGTGGATAAGGAATTGGCTGGAGGGTCGCACTAAAAGGGTTGTGGTCAACGGTTCAGTGTCCAAGTGGAGGCCAGTGACGAGTGTTGTTTCTCAGGGGTCAGTACTGGGACCAGTGCTATTAAACATCTTTGTTGGAGACATGGACAGTGGGATTGAGTGCACCCTCAGCAAGTTTGCAGATGACATCAAGCCATGTGGTGTTGTGGACACACTGGAGGGAAGGGATGCCATCCAGAGGGACCTTGACAGGCTGGAGAGGTGGGCCTGTGAGAACCTCATGAAGTTCAACAAGGCCAAGTGCAACGTCCTGCACACGTGTCGGGGCAATCCCAAGCACAAGTACAGGCTGGGCGGAGAATGGATTGAGAGCAGCCCTGAGGAAAAGGACTTGGGAGTGCTGGTGGATGAGAAGGTCAACATGAGCCGGCAATGTGCACTGGCAGCCCAGAAAGACAACCGTATCCTGGGCTGTATCAAAAGAAGCATGGCCAGCAGGTCGAGGGAGGTGATTCTGCCCCTCTACTCTGCTCTCGTGAGACCCCACCTGGAATACTGCGTTCAGCTCTGGAGTCCCCAACACAAGAAGGACATGGAGCTACTGGAGTGGGTCCAGAGGAGGGCCACGAAGATGATCTGAGGGCTGGAGCACCTCTGCTATGAAGACAGGCTGAGAGAGTTGGGGCTGTTCAGCCTGGAGAAGAGAAGGCTCCGAGGTGATCTTATTGTAGCTTTCCAATAATTAAAGGGGGCTACAGGAAAGCTGGAGAGGGACTTTTTCCAAGGGCGTGTAGTGACAGGACAAGGGGCAATGGATTTAAACTGAAAGAGGGCAGATTTAGATTGGATATAAGGAAGACATTTTTCACTTGGGGTGGTGAGGCACTGGAACAGATTGCCCAGAGTATCTGTGGCTGCCCCATCGCTGGAAGTGTTCAAGGTCAGGCTGGATGAGGCTTTGAGCAACCCAGTGTCGTGGAGGGTGTCCCTGCCCATGTCAGGGGGGTTGGAACTAGATGATCTTTGAGGTCCCTTCCAATCCTAACCATTCTGTGATTCTGTGATAATTATTGCTGCCTCATTTCTGAACTGTAAGCACTGAAATGTAAAGACATAAGTTGTTGCAATTTTGTTCCACCCATGTAATATGTTCATATTATTCTTTCAGAATATTACAAATCTGTAATATGTAATAATACATATTACCAGATTTAAATGTTACTGGTTTTCAGAGTAGTTGCTGTTGTTCCTTTAAAAAGATAGTGTAGGCAGTGTTGACCAAAGTTGTGATTGTAATTGTTCTTTCTAAAAGCAAATAAAGGTAATGAAACAAAAATGGAATGTGTATGGTGGTCTTATTTTTATTTCTTTAATGTTTATCATAAATACATTTATAATAACTATTTGTGGAAAAAAAATCCCGAGCAAATATTTGGACTGATTATGTAAATCCAGTGCACTCACGTGAAGCTGTACTTCTTTTTCAGAAGTACTCCTCCTGTGTTGCATAGTTTGAAATAAAGGTTAATAGGTGGCATTTGTTTTGGGGAAATGTTAACATGGCACTTTCCTCTGAAGAGAGCTAGACAGCATTAATGAAGAATGGAAGAGGAAAAAAATAAAATAGAATTTCAAGGAGATTGTTACTGTAAAACCTCAAAAATTTACATGCTAATTTGAAACATGTAGAACAGTTACTTAATCACTTTGCTTTTTCAGCTGAGGCACAGCTAACTGAGAAGACCTCCCTTCAAGGCATCCAGCAACTTGTTCGCAAAACCTGCCAGGCATTGGCTTTATGGAAGTTGCTGTGTGAGCATCAATTCAGTGTTGTTGTGGGAGAGCTTCAGAAGGTACAATTGGAATCATATGATTTTAATTTGTTTATTTTTGACATCCGTATTTCTTCTGGTTTAAAAATTACTGTGATTTCACTTTAAGCAGATTCTGTAAAATGTGCAGAAAAGAATAGACCGATGGTGTCCAGCTGAGAGGAGTTTACTCTTTGCCTTAGTGTTGGTAGAGGTTTAACTGCAGAGGCGAGTAGAGTTGTAGAGTCTCAAACCCTTGCACTTTTGTGTCAGTAGGGGTCCAGAATGTGTTACAGAACATCTGAGTTTGGAAGGGACCTCTGGAGGTTATCTGCCCCTTCTACTCAAAGCAAGGTCGACTATTGCAGGGTGCCCAGGACCATGTCCAGTAGGGTTTTTAATATCCAAAGATGAAGACTTCATAGCCTCTACGGGCAACCTGTTCCAGTGTTCAACCACCTTTAGAGTATAAGAGATTTTGCTTATGTTCAGGTGCAGTTTCCTTTACTTCAGCCAGAAGGCCATTGTGTCATGTCCTGTCACTGGGCACCACTGAGAAAAGTCTGACTTTGCCTTCTTCACACCTTACCATAAATATTATTAAGATCACACACACTGCCCCCTGAGCCTTCTGCAGGCTAAACAATCCCAGTTCTTTCAGCCTCTCCTTGTTTGTAAAGAAAGAAACTTATAAAACCATGGGTGCTATTGCTGTCTACCCATTTGCATCCAGCCCTTGAAGAAGCTGTTAATTTGAATACTAGGCATTTTGGCCTAGCACTTGATAGGAAAATAGATTATTTGAGAAGTTGTGTTCTTTGTCTATGTAAAGTTTAAAAATTGTCTTTTCTATATGCACAGAAGCTGGAGCTCTTCACAGTGTTGCTTTGGGGAGTTAGCATGATTTCTAGAACAGGCAACTTTTGTGTTGGACAAAGAGTTAACTAATTGTTTTACAAATAGAAGCTTTTCCTCTGTCTTGAGTAGTTTTAGAGATTTTGTAATAGTATTTTCATGCTGTTGGTGATCATCCATAGACACTATATACACTACTGGCAACTCTATGTGAACAAATATTCCTTAATAATTAAAAAAACTTAATAACCTTCAATGTAATTTAATAAGAAAAAACATAAAGGGTACAGATCTCAAACTTTTTCATTTCCTCCTTTTTATGCATCTGTCATTTTTTTCATCTATGACTGTACTGACATGGTTCACATTATTAAAAGCTGGCATTCTCATTTCATAGGGTGTGCGTTCTGACCGCCCTGTGAAGTAAGAGGAACTGCTAATTCCATTCTTATTTGCAGAGGTCTGAAACTAAAGTGATACATAGTGAAGATGGCAGAGGAAGTCTGCTAAGAAGAGTTCTTACTGTCCTGTAGTATCCAATGGTCTAGGGCCTTCATCGATAAGGCTTTCTTTATTATTTCCATTGTGCTGTATAATGTATATTTTAATGAATGCATTTCTGTGCTGCGCACTTCTGTCATTGGAGTTTTGTCTGGTTTTGTTTACTAGAAACATTAATTTTGTTACTGTAACGTTGTGATGTTTCTAAACAGAATAAATTAAAAACTTTGGTAAACTAATGAAATCCTGTCTATTTCAGGAACTTCAAGAACATCTAAAGATCACTGCCTTCAAAGACTTGGTAATTAGAGACAGAGAGTTGACTGGAGCACTCATTGCTTCTCTCGTAAACTGTTACATCAGAGATAACGCTGCTGTGGATGGCATCATTGCCCATCTGCAAGACATCTGTCCTCTTCTTTATAGCACTGACGATGCTGTGTGTTCCAAGGTAAGCGCACTTCCAGATTTTACAGCACCAAACCACAACTTCAGAACATGCTCACATGAGATAGGTCGGGCAGCTTGTAATTCAATATGCTTGAGTAATTTCAGGAGCACAAGAACTAATGAAGGCAGGTTGGGTGCATATTTGTGTCTAGTTGTTGATTAATGCTGAAAATTATGCGAGCGCAGGTTTGAAGCATTTGCAGTTGTTTGTAGTGTTCATAGGGTCTCTGCCTCAAATGGGATGTCTAATAAAACTATCTTCTTGATGTTGGCAAAATCTTACTGTTCCTACTGTAGCCTTTCCTCAGCATAGTCTTTTGTTTTCTATCTATTGCCTATTTTCATGGAATTTGTGGAAAGCTAATGATGTTAAAGAACTTCCGTCTTTGAAGCTTTTCAAATGAATTTGAAAAAATTAACTGGTGATGGGAGAATGGGGAACCAGTTGGTTGTTTAAGTGTTAAGCCTTTCTCTCTGCTGCTGTTGGACAGTCTTTCTGCTGGAAACCTAGTGTTATCAAGTGACAAGAGAGTGCTTTCGGGAGGATGATGTTTCTACTGTTTCAGCTTTGGAGTTTGGGATAGTAACTCATTGACTTGCAACAATATCCCTGATCTGTTCATGGTGCGTTCATGAGAATAATTTCAATTTCCCATCATTTTTCTTTAGGCAAATGAACTCCTTCAGCGGTCTCGACAGGCTCAGAGCAAGCTGGAAAAAGAGAAGATGCTAAGAGAGTCACTGAAAGAGTACCAGAAGATCAGCAATCAAGTAGACCTTGCTAATGTTTGTGCACAATACAGACAAGGTAAGAGGCAATCACTGGTTTTATTCCAGTAGTTTCTGTGATATCCTTTTGTGCCATCTTCTTTTTTGCTTGTTTTGTTTGCTAACTTTCGACTCATTTTGTAGCGTGTTACCATAAACAGTTTCTTAATAGCTCTTACAATTAAGTTACGTCAACCTGTTTGTGTTTAAAGCCTTTCTAGATTTCACCAACCAAACAAAAAACCCACTTCTATATAAAAATATTCCTGTCCACCTGTTTCACATTGCAGTGTCCATTTGTTTCATATATGGTGAAAGTGTTTTTAGCAAAATTGTTGGGCTGTATGTAAGCAGAGGATAAATAAGTAACTGTACTTTTGCAGGTAAGGTTTTATACCAAATAAGCTCTTTGAAAGATGGTTTCTTGATCCTGTTTTGTGCGATGGAAGCTAGTACGTAATTTAAACGCAAATGTAACTGTTGTAGCAGTCAAGGTTTCAGCCTCTGTACAAATATGTAACTTCAAATTTGTATATAATCCCACGCGTTAGGTACAGGTGTAAAACTTTATACAATACAGACCAGAGTGAATGAGGTTTATTTTTACTTGCTTGCTAACATGGGAAATGTTTGATGTCACTTACCGTTTTGTCATAGATTTAATACAATAATGAATGGTGGTATTCTTTCTTTCCTAGTGCGTTTCTATGAGGGAGTGGTAGAACTCTCTCTTACAGCTGCCGAGAAGAAAGATCCCCAAGGTCTTGGCCTTCATTTCTATAAAAATGGAGAACCAGAAGAGGATGTTGTTGGACTTCAAGCTTTTCAAGAGAGGCAAGTTTTCAAGATACCTTGTTGCCATTGCATGGGGTGCTTCATTTCAAGTGACTGAAAAAGTAACCTTTCTTGGGAAGTTACGCAGGGTAATGACAAGCAAGCATTTTACCATGAGGGATACAGTATAGATGTTTTTGCCTAGCTTGCTCTCCTTAATTATCATGAATAATGGCACCAACTTAACCTGGAACAGAGGGTGCACTGATAGATGCAGAAGATTGTGAACGGAACATTACAGAAATACTTGTTAGAAAGATGATCGAAAACAAAAGATTGTGGCAACTAGCTGACAATAATCTGTGACCTTTTTTTAATTTTAATAACATACAATAACAATATTTGAGAAGGGTATTTTGCATATAGTTGCAATGAAAATTGTGAGGCTTCTGTTGTCTTTTGCTCTATTTGCAGATTGAACAGCTACAAGTGTATCACTGACACCCTTCAAGAGTTAGTGAATCAGAGTAAAGCTGCTCCTCAGTCTCCCAGTGTACCTAAAAAGCCAGGTCCTCCAGTGCTGTCATCTGACCCCAACATGCTAAGCAATGAAGAAGCAGGGCACCATGTAAGAAACTCACAAAAAAAGTAATGACTGCACTCCAGAAAATACTGTGATTTGAAGAGGTGTAGAATTTATTGTTTTTTAAGAATTATGGAATACTTCAGCGAAGTCGATAAAGGTCAAGATTTGTCATGAATTGGCTTCTTTATGTACAGAGCGTTCATAGAAATGATGACATGCAAATAACATGAACCTAAGTATGGTCACATATATATTCAGTGCTTGATGTAATGTCACCACTTGTGGAATAACAGCTTTGGCCTTTTCTTCCCTTAGTTTGAACAAATGCTAAAGCTGGCTCAGCGTTCAACAGATGAACTCTTCAGTATTGCACTTTACAACTGGTTGATACAGGCTGACTTGGCAGACAAACTGTTGCAGGTGAGCTCATCTCTATACAACAAAATGATTTATTAGAGGATTCCTCTGCACTGGAAGAGTTAATTGTCCTAATGCTGATGCTTTAAAAAAGAGGAGAAGGCAAGAACACAGATGTTATCTTTATGACTTTTGCAGATTACTGCCCCCTTTTTGGAACCCTACCTTGTGCGGATGACCAAGATTGACCAAAACAAAGTCCGTTATATGGATTTACTGTGGAGATACTTTGAAAAGAACAGAAATTTTAGTAATGCAGGCAGAGTCTTGGCTAAGCTGGCTGACCTACATAGGTATGGATTACGTGTGATCTTTTGTGTATGTTAAGAGAATTGGGGAAAAACCAAACAAACTAAAATCAAAACTTTATGTTTAGGTGTTTTACGAAAAGGACATGGAGAAGAGAATGCCAATGCCCAAGGATGTTTAAAAAAATATTAAATGAATGGAATATACTAGCTTTTAATCCAGACTGTTACTGGAAAGAAATTATATGTTTATTTTATGTATTATACATTAGCTTGCAATGTGTTTCCTGTTGTAAGTACCGTATATTGAGTGGTCATTTCTTACACAGAATTTTATAGTGCAGTAGTGTAACCGTGGAGCAGTGGATTGAGAAGTACACTAGACCTGAGCCTGCAACAAAGATAGGGTTACATGGTTGGATCATGTCCTCTGTGATTTAGTAAAATCAGGAGAAGTCACATGCTAATTCCAAGAGTGTGGTTAGAATATAACTAACCCTCAAATAATTATATTAAGTACAAATTTTATTGTGAATATTTTTTTTGCAGCACAGAAATTTCTCTTCAGCAGCGTCTTGAATACATTGCACGTGCCATTTTGAGTGCCAAAAGTTCCACTGCCATATCCTCTATAGCTGCAGATGGTGAATTCCTACATGAACTAGAAGAGAAAATGGAAGTAAGAAAAATAAAAATTTATCTCAGCTACACTGTAAATGCATTATTTCACTTTATCTTATTGGCACATGACATTTTTATTACCAGTTCTGTACAAACGATTTATTTGCTTTCTTCCCAACATGGCAAAGTTGCTCAGTTGATAGGCGACTCTGAGGTGTAAGACAGTAATGTTTCTACATTTAAATAAGTTCAAGTAATTCTGGGTGTGTTCTTAAGCGTTGATTAGATTAATCCAATCTTCAACTATTTTATTTTTCTTTTTAAACAAGGTCGCAAGGATCCAGCTTCAAATACAAGAAGCTTTACAGCGGCAGTATTCCCATCATTCTTCAGTGCAAGACGCAATCTCCCGGCTTGATGCTGAACTAATGGATATAACTAAGGTGATTAAAATTTCTCTGTATTAAAAGTCAATTTTTCACATTTTGGGGGAAGAAAAACTGTTTTGCAAAGAATGATCCTATGCTGACTAGGGAAAGCAATAGAGAGATAGTTTGGCACTCCTGGTCTCAGAATGTTTGTTATCCTAGACGGTCTTCAGTCTTTAATGTGTTCTATGTGTTTATCTTCTTTATTCTCTTAGATTTCTTCATTTACTGGGAAAATTGTTTAAAAAATAGCAGTATTAATTAAAACTTCATATAAAATTGGAGATTGTATTTAAGAAGTGAAAGTAAACGTAGTAAAAAAAAATCATTTAGTGTTTAACAACAGTTACATAAGTTGCACCTTTACTAGTCTGATGTCTACCATACAAAGTAAGGAAAAACTGATTTTAAAAATTCCTTTTTATCCTACTTTAAATGTAAAGCCTGGTAATTTTTCTTTCAGCTGTATGGAGAATTTGCCGACCCTTTTAAGCTCTCGGAGTGTAAGCTTGCAATTATACATTGTGCGGGTCATTCTGATACTATCTTGGTGCAAACTCTCTGGCAAGAAATCATTGAGAAAGGTAAGTCTTAATGGACTAGGAGTGGTACGAGCTACAACTGTAGGAAAACAGTACGATTAAAGGTTTTAAGACGGACTATGTGCTGCTACTGATATGCTGTCCAAGTGAGATGCATCTTTTCTGAACTACTCTGTAATATATGTGGTAAGCACAGTTAACTAGTAATTCACTAATGTTATTACCTTTGGCTTGTGTGCCTAAAGGACGGAAAAATCATGTTTTTAAATATATATTGGAGCATATTGCACATATGGCTTGAATAATCACACTTCAGGTAACTTTTAAGAAATCATTTAATCCCTTCTTGTTCTTAGATGCCATTATGTATTGACTTCAGAATACCTGTCAAATTTTGTCTGGAGGTTTCACTATTAGGAAATCATGATAAAAATGTTAAATTTGTCATGACAAAGAATAAAGAATCTTAGGGGAGTTCTGCATTTTTATGGTGCTGACAGGAGTGGAAGTGTAAAGGTTTTGTCCATTTATAGAGAAGCAGAGCTTCTGCAAGCTCTGCAAGCCTAGCCACTCAGCTGTGAGAATCTGTGTCAGCCTTTACCAGGAGTTGGTAATTCCCTCTCCCTGTTTGTTTTTTTCCCTTGTGTTTTGTGCTTCAGGTTGCCATTGCACAAACAACACTGACAGTGATTTGAGGGAAAAGCTATGTGGTTGTTCTTGGGGTTTGGTGGTGGGGTTTAACTTTTTTTTTTTTTTTTTAAATGGGTTTGCATGGAACCTCATGGGAACATAAAAATCTGTGAATACATATGCATACCAAAAGAAGTTACGTTTTCACTTCCACATGTGGATTTTGCATTGACAAAAATGCATCATAAGATTTTGATGTGTTAGTAGTAAATTTAAACACCTCAGTGTATTTGCGTAAAAATGTGGAACTTTTTTAGAAAAAAAGTTCTGTCTAAATGATTTCTTTTCACTTTCAGAATTGAGCGATAGTGTGTCTCTGAGCCCCGCTGACAGAATGCAAGCACTTAGTCTGAAGATGGTACTGCTTGGAAAGATATATGTTGGCACCCCTCGTTACTTTCCTTTAGGTAAGTTGTTTAGCCCATAAATAAATTTAGTAAATAAACACACACATTACATGAATGGGCCTCAGCCTTCTTTTTACCTTCTTTAAAAAAAGTTTTAACCTAAGAAATGTCTCTTTTCTTAAAATCTAAAAAGAAAGAATACTGACAATTTTGGGATACATAATTACATGCTTGTGATACCTAATTACTGTAGTTATTTGTGAATTTTTTTGCTGTAGCTGAAGCAACAAATCATTTCAACTACCAGTAGTGATGGAGTTGATCTTGAGGGTAGCTGGGAAGTGTTTTTTAGTTTTGTCCAGGAAATTAGGAACAAAGGCATTGTAATACTTCCTCATTATTACAATGACTTTGACAAGAGATTGAGGAGAGGGAGGTTAGACAAAAAGTAGAAATAGAATTTCTATTGGCCTCTGATTTTGTAAACACAGTAAAATTGTGTGATTACAAAACTGTTACAGTTTCTACAGGTGCAGTTTCTCCTAGAGTTTTTCTAGAGATTTAACCAGAATTTACAGTTTTTCACCCTGAGTGGGAAGTAAATGAAGCTTAGAAGGCAGCAACAGTTATTTTTGGATGGCTGTGCAGATCCCATTTTAGAAAGTAGTAAAGTTCATTTATATCAAAGTACAAATTAAAAATGTGTATTTATACATTTAATAGATTTTAGGCAACCACGTTTAGCTGCTGTCTTTTGAAGTATCTACTGCTATCTGCAGGAGCAGATTCTGAAAACAGAATTCAGGAGATTTCTGGATCCTTTTTGGTGCTTCTTTCTGCTTTTGAGATGCTCATATATTTTGTCAACTTGGTATTACATAAAAACCTCAAAAAATATATACCAAATGATTGTAAAAGAACATTTAGTGCTGAACAATATATTTTTAATATTGTAACAGAACATTTAGTGCCAAACGATACATTATTAATTATTATTGATAGTTAAACACGATGAAAGATGCAGTAGTATTGCTGGCTATTCTACCAAATGAAATGGTGATGTGTTCTTCTGCGCTGAAACAAAAGTTAACGCGCTTTTGTCAGCAGCGTAGTCCCCTGGCAAAACGGGGAGTAATCAGGTACTTAGCATGAGCAATCCCTGTCCTGCGTTGCTTACAGCTTAATACCATCCTTGTGGGTAATGACATCTGGCATGTCCTTCCCTCAGTGCAGACCAGGGGGAACTGTTACCTGTGCTTCACAGGAGAAAGGTACCAACCGTGTGGAAGACGGAAGATTAAACTTGGAGTAAATAACTTTCAAATGCCTTTCTTTGCTAGACTCCCATTAACAAGTTGGAATCTAAACATTACATTGTTTTTGTTCTTCAGATTTTTTAGTGCAGTTTCTGGAGCAACAGGTCTGCACTTTGAACTGGGATGTAGGTTTTGTAACATACACCATGCGGGAAATTGGAGTGCCACTGCCACGGCTGCTTGAAGTGTATGACCAGTTGTTTAAAGCACGGGTAAGGAAAATAGCCACAAAATAAATTTTTTTTTCAACTACTGTCAAGGTTTGTCTTTAGCAGGAAACATAAAATAATGTAGAGGTATGATATATCAAAATAACAACTTCATAGCTTTTGCTCTCTTTTTTTTTTCCTTACTCAAAGGCTCTGAATGTTGCTTTTTTTTTTCCTCTGTTCATTTTATTCGCTTCAGTCCTAAATTATGAGGAAAATGTTAATCCTTTTACTTCACCTAAAGCTGATTTAGGATTAAATAGGATTGGAATTATGTTGCAGAAGGAACAGCAGATCTTTAATATATTCATTTTATTTGTTTCCTATTCATGATTAAAATTTGCTATATTACTGCATCTTATCTAATCTATTGATACAATAGACATGAAGAATAAGAAATCATATTTTTAACTTTTAGTTTGTAGAACAGGCTTAAACAGAATTAAAAGAAAGAGAATTGACTTGCTTCTTTTTACCCAGATTCCTTACAGTGTGAGGAATTCAGAACTTCCTAAAATCTATTACTTTACAGACTGTTAGGTAATGACAAACTGAGTTAAATTCATGTGCATTTGAGTACTCAAACGTCAAAATAGTACTTAAATACAGACTTAATATAGATGAAGATAGAATTCCCATTTTTCTTACATTTTTGTTGCAATGAATAAATAATTTCCACAGCTGGGAACTTTTTTTCCTCTTGTCTCCTTAATGTTTGTCTCTTTAATATTTTGGAATATTTTTTAGGACCCATATTGGAATAGAATGAAAAAACCTTTACACCTTTTGGAGAGTATTCATGTATTATTATCAGGATATGTACAAGAACCAAGCAGAGTTCTTCTGAGGTAAGAAAGGCAACTGTATCCCAATAAATAGTGAAAGATACAAAATATTCTAAAGCACTGCACTTCAGCAATTCCTAAAGCTTTTCTTCTTCTCTTTTGAGTGAATTTAGTATTTCTTTCCTAGCAGTGGGACAAACTTCAGTCAGAATCATCTTGTCTCAGAAACAACAAGCAGAACTAGGCCAAGTCTTGATAACTCTTCTAACCATAGATTTTTCTGATTCTCTTGAAAATACATGTGTAAATATCCCCTGTTCACATACAGAGGGTACATCTATCTTTTCTCACTTTTTTGGTCTTTTGTGGTTAGCTGATTTAAATACTCATTAGAATGTAATAACTTTTTAGAACTTTAGTGAATGTTGTCTAGTTTTTTTTACTTACTTAGGTATTAATACCTAAATTGTTGTGATTTGATACTAAATTTAGATACTTAAAGTGCTATCTACATTAATAACATACAGTGATCGTATTCATATCTAATCATAAATATTAAATATTTCACATTGCTGTTAACTGTATCGTGTTTTATTGTTTAGATTTAATATCAGATGAATAGTAGTGATTCATTTGTTTTCCCATGATGCCTTAGTCACAAGCATTAGATCTCAAAAGCCAATTTTTCTAGTAAATAAATACTTAAAAGTAGCTAACAGATGTCTTACTGATATGTTATTCCTTTAAAATTCACAGAATGCTCACTTTCTAGTTCAGCTGAATTCTAATACACAGAAACGCAAAGGAGCTCATTGTTCTGTGTTTCCTTTGCAGGCGACGATTCACGAATTTTTGCCTGGATGCTGTTAGTTGCTACCTGGTTGAACTTCAGTCTATGAGTCCCACGCTAACGGTGCAGACTACTATTGGGAATTTTAAATCACTACAGGCTAAATTAGAACGACTTCACTGATTGACTAATACAATAGCAGAATCATTAGCTCATGTAAAATGAACTGTGAAATAAAAGTCAGATGTCTGCACTGAATCTCTGGAAGAACAAATCCTCAGAAAGGAATTCTGAGAATGTTGTGGCTCCTGCTGCAGTTACCGATTTTGTGGCCTGTATTTGTGCTATTCTAAAGGTATCTACGAATTGTAGAATGTAAATGTGACAAATGATGTTCCGTTTACTACTACCAAATTTTTTAACAACAGAAGGCTTTTTTTTATACTGTTGAAATAAAATACATTCTGTGATCTTTCTCTTGAGGTTTAAAAAAATTTGGAAAAGATTTTTTTCTTTACTTAAAGTAATGGAGAAAAGTAGGATGTAAAATCTACTTGATAGCTGTTTTACAAGTGTCGAACCTGGGGAGGGCAAGATGAAGTTAAAAGCGCATGTAAATGTGGGTGTATCAGAGAGTAGAGATGCAATCATAACTCTCTGCATGAGTTATTGGCAGATCTTTCAATAACAAAGATAATCATTGTTTCGTAACTCACTTTAAACACCCCCTGTCCCTGTAAGTAGAATGTTGGGATGGAATTGCAGAATATAGTTTGTATAGCCATTGAAAGAACAGTATTAGAAGCCCATCAAATTATTTTCCCTATTCCATTTTAATAAAGATGCTGTATCTGTTTAAAATCAAATAAAGAAGTCAAGAAGTGACTTCTATTTCCGTTACATGCACACAAGCACCAAATTGTGTATATTCCTTAAAACAAGCAAAGCCTATGCACCATCCTGTGTGCATGCTTCCTAAGATTTTAAAGTCTCATCCTTAACAAGGAAATTTTAAATCCTCATTCCTCAACAAGGAAATTTGTTTTGTTTCTGTTTTACTGCTATGCATTGTGAACGCATTCAGCAACGTAAACTTGTATAGAAAATGCACGAGAAATTACTGGTTCGTGCTGGTCTTTTGCCTTTATCAAATGACTTCTTCATGTAAGTAAAAGATCAGAGTTTGGAGAGATTGTTTTCATGGGGAAAGAAGCAAATATCTTTATGCCTACAGAGTAGATTAATGTTTGGGGTTTTTTTCCAGGAGAATGAGTAGTTGATACACATCACAGGTGTTCAAAAAAACAGAACAAAGAAAGTATGGATTGTGACATTTATTTACATGCCAGTTATCTACTTAAAATCTTTACTACCAGATCTGATTACTATGCTCTAAAGTGTTTTTTTTTTTAAAGTACAGCCATTAAATTTATTTCCCTATGAACTGCCAGGTTCTTTTGCCAGAGAATGCAACCAGTGACGTAATACGGAAATTAAAACACATCTTGTTTTTTACCTCTTGTTAGATCAAAATAGAGCTGAAATCTTACTACTGACTTTTCTCTTTTGTCAGTTTTGGAATTTCCTCACAAACTATTTACATAGAGGCATTACTGTATGTCCTGGGAAAAAAAAATTGCATCTTTCCATACAAAGTGTACTCTCTTTAGCTATTACAAGTTATTTTCTGATGATAATTGTGTTTCACACCAAGGATGTCTTGCACATTTACCCTAGTCTTGTTCTTGCAGTTCGTTTCATATGAGTGATGTCCCAAGTCTTGCCTGATGTATTTAACTTTTATTTCTACGTTTTAAAATTTTCATGAAAGTATGTTGTGTTGAGCCATATTTTATAATCTAGGTAAGCAGATTTCTGTTTTCGGATCTGGAAAAATAATGAGTTGCAAACAGGCACAAGTCACAGACTTAAGTTTCAGCTCTTTTTTATTTTTTTTTGCCGATTAATAGAATAAGAATGCTTCTGGCAATATTACAAGTTTTTCAAAGAGTATTTCAAAAGTGTATCAAGAGTCATCCTGGATATTTTTCAGCTAAGTAATTACACCGCAGACATTGCCTTTAGTTTTCATAGCACTTGCTCTGCTCCGAGATGGAGAAGGGTTAGGTTCTGTTTCCCAATTTAAATTTGGAGGAACGAGGAAGCCTGAGATCGGAGGTGAGGGGTGGTTGGATTAATGCTGTAGGTGAAACAGGTGGTGGCAAGGCCAGGGAAGTAACTGACTAACGTGAAAGTCAACCACTTTGCATTAACAAAATTATCAACCACTGAATGATCACTTTTGTTGGTTGGGTGGGTTTTTTTAATTCTTCTGTCCCAATGGTTCTCATTCTCCATCGAGATAGTGGTGAAGGGAAGGCAGAAACGGGCTGATCTAACGCGGTCTGGGGAACCAGAGCCGCTTGGCGGGAAAAGTTGCTTCAGGGCAATGAGAGCCGCTTCTTCACGGCGAGGAAACAGACCGGCTGCTGTTTCACCCAACTCCCCGTGTTCGGTGGGGAGCGTTGGTGTC